CAGGCCTTGCCTTCTACCTTGTTTCAGACAGGGTCTCCCGCTGTGTGTGCCTGATTACCTGCTTGTGAGCTTTTAGGGACTCTCCTGGCTCTGCTTCTCACTGTAGGAGTGCTGGGGTGAAGATATGTACTACCCCAGGTGCTCATGCTTGTGCAGCAAGCTCTTTACCCACTGATCCATCTCAGTAGCCTCCCCCACTTCTTTCCAATGGCACTATGAATTGAACTCAAGGTCTCACACATGCTAAACAAGTGCTCTACCACTGAGCTACATTCCTGGTTCTCCATCTTGTTTTTTGAGACATGGTGTCTCTCATTGAATCTTACCAGTTCAACTAGACTACCAAGCCAGAAAGCTCCAAGGATAGGATTATTCTGTTTTTGCCCCCTTAGCATTAGCATTGGGGTTATAGGCTTGTGAACCCCTTAATGGTGTGGAATTTGTGTTTATTTGTGCCATGGTACTGGTGATAGATACTTCATGCTTGCACAGAAAGCACTGTGTACCAAGTTAGCTGTTTCTCCATTTCTTGGCCCTTGGATTTTAAAGATACATTAACACAGTTATCTTTCTGTTCCAGACAGCAGGTCCCAGCCCATCTTGGTATTGGTAATGAGTAGTCTTCAGAATAGCAGGTCGTCTGCTTGCCATCCTGAATATTCACATTTGTAAAGGCAATTGTCTTATTAGAGAGAGGGGGAGAGACAGAGTCAAAATGGTTGCACTCAGCAGTAGACAGGTAGCAAAATTGAGAGTAAAATCCATGAATTTGGCTTATAAATTGTTAGAGTGACAGGCAAGTGAAATAAATAAGTATGCATTTAAAGTTGGCTGTGATTGTATGTTACACAGTCAGATTGTGCCAAAGAGCTACAAAATGGCTCATATGCTAAAGGTGCCTTTGTCCAAGGCTATTGATCTGAGTTCAGCCCCCAAGACCTACACTTTGACCTTGCTTTGAAGAGATAATTTTGGAAACTGACTTCCTGAGTAAATGAAGTCAGGAATCTCAGCAATTCTCACTGTTAGAGGATAACACTTGCACAAGGAAAGAATGCCCTTTTTGCCTGCCCTTTACTTAGTAAGTTCAGGACTGTCAAGTCATGGACACCTTGCCTGGGTGACCCTACTCAGCTTTTACCATTTTAATACAGCAGTTAAACAGTTGAATTCTGGTATTCCTGAGACATTATTATATTGACCATATTTGATATTTAGATTGCAGAGCCCATTTATCCTAGAGAGCATAGTCTTCTACAAAAACTGTTTAGGAGAACTTTTGTTATTCTTAGATTGTATGTTCACCTAGAGTTTTGTTTTAATCTGTTAAATCCCCAGTTGACCTTTTCATTGAACACAAAGACTTTTCTGTGCCTTAGTATAGAAGTGTCATTGAACTTCTCTTTGCTGAATAGTTTTGTAATCTACTGCACCCACATCTTTTCAGTTGTCCTGTTCCATCAGTCTCCTAAAAGGCAGTCAGAACCATCTTTCTATTAAGCTACTAATTCTTTATGCTAGCTTTCCTTAGGCTTCTCTCCCTTAGCAGAATTTGCAGAAGAAACACATGGTAGTAAAATATCTGGGGAAGATGTCATGGGAATGGAAGTAGACAGATGGACAGATAGAAAATAAATACTTTTATAATCAGTATCATCTAATCTGTGTCACAATTGTTTAGAAAGAGAAAAGGGGAAGAAAGGAAGGGCTGGTCCCTGTATGTTTTCATTTCCTGTCTTAGGACAAAAGCTTTAAGTCTCAAGTGCTGTTTTTATAACACTTCCCCTCCCCTGTCTTACAAATTCTTGGAACACCCAATGCCAAAAAACTTCAGTTGTCAGCCCCCCCCCCCAGCAACAAAGGCTGAGTGCCAAGCCCACCCCGTAACAGACACTCAAGACACTTCTGTTTTGTTTGTTTGCAATTTATAAAAGAAAATTACTGAATAATAGCTGGCTATGATTACGATTGTGAATAGAGAGATCAGAGTATTAGCCTCAAATCTAGCTTCAGGTGATTTACCAAGTATTTGGCTGTTATTATAGCAGTGACATTTCATGTAGTAAAGTGCACAGATTTTAGGTGATGTTGTTTAATTTGATGACACATTTTATTATATAGGAGGGATTCTTCTGGCAGGTTCTTATGCATGTGCAGATCTGCTCTTGCTCAGTAGAATCCCAAATCAGGTCCCAAAGGATACACTTTACACCTCCTTCCATTCCTATGTACTGCCCAACAAAGTCCTAGACTCTGGCCTCTCCAGTTCTGATTTCAGCTGATAGGACTGGGTCCACCTTCTCTGTGTAGCATGCTGGAACTTAACTCTAAGTAGCATGGGGCACTTGAAGGCTCACCCTGCTTCCTGTCTCAGAAGCACACTTCCAACTCTTCTGTTGCCCCGTGTCTGAAAATCATTGTGTTCTGTACTTTGTCCAGCTTTCCGCTGTTCACAGTAGGAAGATAAATTTTGTTCCAGTGTAAGGCAATGCTGGAAGAGGAAATCTCCTCTGAAAGTGGAGGATGAGGCTGGGATATAGTTCAGTTGGTCGAATGCCTGCCTTGCAGTCACAAAGCCCTTGGTTGACCCTCAGCACTGCACTAAATCAGGCATGGCAGCACGTAGCTCTAAACCCAGAGATGGAAGAAGAAAACTCACTTTCCGATTCCTGGAATATACGTGTGCTAGTTTGAGGGAAACTGACCCTCAAGGGCCTATGCGTGCATACTTAGTCCCCATTTGGTGACCTGTTTAAGAAGGACTAGCAGGTGTAACCTTGTTAGAAGAAGTGTGTCACTGGGGGTGGGCTTTGTTTCAAAAGCCCATGCCATGCCCAGTGGCTTTCTTCCTGCAGCCTATGAATCAGGTTGTAAAGTGCTCAACTACTGTTCTAAGAGCATGCCTGCATGCCTGCCACCCACCACACTCCCTGCCATGGTGATGAACTGTAAGCAAGCCCCCAATTAAATACTTCATTTAGCCAGGTGGGATGATATGCCTTTAGCCTCAGTAATTTTAAGGCAGAGGCAAGTGGATCTCCTTGAATTTGAGGCCAGCCTGATCTACATAGTGAGTTCTAAGACAGCCAGGGCTTTGTAGAGAGACTGTAGGCATAGTTTTCTGTTCCTCCAGCCAGTTCCCAAATAACCACACAGAGACTTATTATTAATTATAAATGCTCAAGTGATTGCTTAAGTTGTTACTAACTAGTTCTTACAACTGAAAGACCTACTTTCTTATCTGTGCTCTACCTTGTGGCCCAGTACCTTTCTTCAGCACAGCATGCTAATCTTGTTCCTCCTTCGTCTCCTGCGACTCCATCTTCTTCATCCCAGCACTCTCCTTGTCCAGAAGTCTCACCTAACCTCTCCTAGCTATTGGCTATTTAGCTCTTTATTAAAACAATGAGAGTAACACATCTTCACGGTGTACAGAAAGATTATTCCACCATGGAGATCCTGTCTCAAAATATCAGGGTAACCTTGGTCATAGTATGTCTTTATAGCAATAAAAACTCCAAGACAACATGAGAGCCTGTCTTATGGGAGAAGGGGAGACAATACAACAGTCAATCAGTAGAAGTTTTTTAAAGGTAGAATAGAAATCTTTTTATATTGAGATTTTTAAAAGTGAATTTATTTTTATTTTAATGATGTTTTGCGTGTATGTATGTCTGTGTGAGGATGTTGTAAGTTGCCATGTGGGTGCAGGGAAAAGCAGTCATTGCTTTTAACTATGAGTCATCTCTCCAGCCCCATATTGAGATGTTTATGCTGAGGTAAATTAAGATGTATAATTCTTAGTATTCATATATCATGTATTCTTAGTATTCATGTATTCATCTAATGTATTCATCAGTTCTCAGAACACCATACATACATGCATGCATACATACATACCACACTTAATATTAGCTCTTGTTCTTTGTAAGGCACTTGCATAACTTAACTAGTGTTCCTTAGTGTTCAGGGTGATCAGTCCAATCTAAAGTTCAGTGTTTTTCTCTGATCTACTTGAAAATATTATATATAAAGAATATTAATTTGGGGCTGTGTTTATTCATCTTATCTATAGTTTCCTATGAATGGTGGGTATGTCACTGTTCTAACTCAAGTTATCTGTGTGTTTGATTGGTTGATAAACTTATAAAACTGTGTCATTTGAACTTTTTTTAAAATACAAATTCACACCAGATAGTGGTGGTGCACACTTTTAATCCCAGCACTCAGGAGGCAGAGGCAGGCAGATCTGTGAGTTCAAGGTCAGCCTGGTCTACAGAGTGAGTTACAGGACAGCCAAGGCTATGTAGAGAAACCTTTCTTGAAAACAAAACAAAAAACCTGTTGTCGGGCTGAGGCTATGGCAGGCTTGGTGGTAGGTAGAGTGCTTGCTTAGTGTGCATGAGATCCTAAGTTTGATCCCCAACACCAAGATAAAATGAAATTTGTTATCAACAGCTAGAAAGACAAGTAGCAGGATGCAGAGCAAGGCATATTTATGTTTTTATTTTATGTGTATTGGTGTTTTGCCTACATGTATGTCTGTGCAAGGGTGTCAGATCACTTGGATCACAGAGAGTTGTGAGCTGCCATGTGGGCCCTGGGAATTGAACTCAGGTCCTCTGAGCAAGGCATATTTTTCTTTATGTTCCAATAGGTTATTGTGCAAAACTATTTTATGTTAGAAGATAAGAGTGTGGTAGCGCATGCCTGTAATCCCAGCATATGTGAATTCCAAGAGTTAAAGACATCCTGGACTACACAAATGAAAATGAGAATAAAAGGCCTGGTCAGGTTGTGTGGTGGTGGTGCTTGCCTTTAATCCCCGCATTTGGGAGGTAATGGCAGGTGGATGTCTCTGTTACACAGAGAAACCCTGTCTGGAAAAACAAAAAGCGAAACAAATAAAAGACCTGGTTAGATAAAAAGGAGACAGGAAAAATGACTATCTTTTTCTTCTATTCTTTAGTATTTTTTTTTTTTTTTTTTTTTTTTTTAAGGCAAAGAATGTGTACAACAGTTGGCTGAGAACACCAGGTATTTCAGGAGACGCCTGAAGGAAATGGGATTCATCATCTATGGCAATGAAGACTCCCCGGTGGTGCCTTTGATGCTCTACATGCCAGCCAAAATTGGGTACATTTTGTGGAAGGTCACAAATTGCTCTGTCATTAAACAAAAGGATATGTTGGGGCTGGAGCAGGGAAGAAGTTGGCATTCCTGTATAGCCTGGCTGGCTAGGAATCACTGTATATAAATCAAACTTCCTCACCACATTGGCCAGCCTCTACCTCCCAGTGCTGGGATTAGAGGTGTGCACCACCATATTTGCCCTGGAAGTCTTATTTCCAAATATTGTAAAACACAAAGCATAATTTTGTAAACAAAAGCAAGTTAGAATTCATTATTTATTGGGGATTCAGATGTGGAGTAAGGGTACAAGACAGTGGTCAATTATTATTGCACAAGAGTTGTGGAGTTTGGGTAACCTGCTGGCTATGGAGCCTCAGAGCAGCCTGTACTCCAGGCAGCTTTAGTCCCAAGTAGGTTCTTAAAAGGGGGGGGGGGGAATATAAGGAGGCTGGAGAGATGGCTCAGTGATTAAGAGCACTGGCTGCTCTTCCAGAGGTCCTGAGTTCAATTCCCAGCAATCACATGGCAGCTCTAAACCATTTGTAATGAGATATCTCTCCCTCTTCTGGCATATAGACATACATGCAAACAGAACACTTTATACATAATAAATAAATAAATAAACCTTAAAGAAGGAAGGAAGGAAGGAAGGAAGAAAGGAAGAAAGGAAGAAAAAGAAATTCCTGGTTTAGATGGCCAATTCCAGTCAGCCACTCTGGCAGCAACAGAGATGTCCCTGTTAACAGCAGGTTCTCTGTCCTCATAGTCTCAAAGCTCATTGTTTTGAGAACTGAATTTTTTTAACACTGATTTATTTTGGATTCTTAACCACAGTTAGGTTTCAGGGACAGGCTATCATCTAAAGCAAACGTTTATGGCAATTGCTCCTTGCCAGTTACATTCTTCCACCTTTGTGAAGGAATAACTATCAAAGGACTGAAAAAACAGAATTTTTAGAACTGTCTGTTTTAAGTGTTTGTGCTTATGTCATCAAAAATCAGACCAGCAGTCAGGTGGTGATGGTGTATATACCGTTAATCCCAGCACTCAAGCGGCAGAGGCAGTCGAATCTCTATGAGTTTGAGGTCAGCCTCGTCAAAAGAGTAACCCTGCTTAGGGAGGTGGGGCAGGAGGTCGGTAATGAGGCCAACAAGAACTTGTACTGGCTGCTATTTACACTTCTTAGTTTCTTGTTATTGTTTTGGTTTTTGAGGCAGAATTTCTCTGTGTAGCCTAGGCTGTTCTAGAACTAGTTCTGTAGACCAGGCTGCCCTGGAACTTAGAGCCTCTCACCTCTGCCTATTAAAGGTGTGAGCCACCATGCCTAGCTACATTTCTTGATTTCATTTTCTGTTTTTCTTTTATAGCGCCTTTGGGCGGGAGATGCTGAAACGAAACATTGGTGTGGTTGTGGTGGGATTTCCTGCTACCCCAATCATTGAGTCCAGAGCCAGATTTTGCCTGTCAGCAGCTCATACCAAAGAAATACTTGATACGGTAAGTACCTTGCAGTCATTATGGTACCTTACTAAAAGGGGCTGTGTATCAGATTGTTAATCACTTCATGTTCTTGGGCACCTAAGATTTTGTTTTGCTTTGGTTTGGTTTTGGTTTTTGAGACAAGATTTCTCTGTAGTTTTGGAGCCTTTCCTCAAATTCACTCTGTAGACAAGACTGGCCTCAAACTCACAGAGTTCCACCTGCCTCTGCCTCCCCAGTGCTGGGATTAAAGGTGTGCATCACCGCTGCCTGGCTTAAAGTTGGCCAATGTTTGGCCAATGGCTCAGGCACAGTAACTAGTTCTCACATTTAAATTAACCCATTTCTTTTTATTTGTGTATCACCATAAGGCTGTGACTTACCGGTAATGCTCAGACAGCTTTCTCCTTTGGTGGCTACATGGTGTCTCCTTTGTCTCTGCTTTCTTTCTCTATCTGTTTGGATTTCCCGCCTAGCTATATTCTGCCTTATTATAGGCTAAGATAGCTTCATCAACCAATAAAAGCAACACATATTTGCAGTGTACAGAAGGGCATCCCACCCACATCAAATGCCGAAGCAGATTCTGTTGCCAACTATGTGTTGATTACTGGAGAGGTCAATTCTTTCAGAAGACCCACTCAAAGAGCTCACTGGACTTTGCCATCTACTTTGTCTTGAAAGCATGAAATGCTTTTAATGTTTTTGAGACAGTGTCTTACATGTAGCCCTGTCTGGCTTTGAGCCTGTTTTCCGCTGTGTCTCCAAGAATAGGAATTCTAGGAATGAGCCACCACACCTGACTAAAGCTTTTTAGTCATTTTATCTTGTTTGTTTCATAGAATTAAATACTAAAAATAAACATAGTGAGTGTTAATTGGGAAATAGAGGCCAGCCTTGTCTACAAAGCCAGTACCAAGACAGTCAGGGCTACACAGTCTATAAAAAAAAAAAAGAAGAAGGAAACTGTACAATCAGTAAAGTAGGAGGAGGAGAAGGAAACTGTACAATCAGTGAAGAAGAAGAAAGAGAAGAAGGAGGAGGAGGAAGAAGGAAACTGTACAGTCAGTAAAAGAAGAAAAAGAAACTGTACAATCAGTAAAGTTGTACCATGATAAAGTCATCTTTCCACATAATGGGAAGAATAATGGCATCTGCTGTGGGAGGGCAGCCTGCTTACTCAGCCTGTATTGGATGTATTTTTCTCTTAGAAGCTCATCTCGTGCCTTGAGCTTGAGATCACTGTAATTATTTGCTAACAAACGGTGCCATATAATGGTTCTTTGCTCCTAATCTAACCAAACAACCTCATTTAAGGGCCAGCAGTTTCTATTACAAATTTGTTTTTTATGTAGACAAAACTTGTCTGGGGCTGTGAGTGGTGGCATATGCCCATAGTCCTGGATGCCCAGAAGGGTTACTTGAGCTCAGGAGCTGGAGATCAGCTTGGGAAGTTTATTGACATTCCACATCACATAAATAACAAACAAACATAGTCAAAAACTTTGTGTGAAATACTAGATATGGGAACAAAACTCTTTTATCGCCTTGGGCACTGTGAGTTTGTTTCTGCTCACTTCCTGTTTCTAACCACTTTCCTCTTTACACTGATGAAAAAAATATTAGGTGCTCCTAGAGTCAGGGCTCATAAATATCCTTTCCTCTGTGTTCTAAGTCGTGTACACCTTTGTTTTAAATGTATAAATCCTCTTTCATGAAATAAATGAATGGCTAATGGTTTCTCCCATCTGAAGTTCAGGGTGGTTAACTGTCTGTATGGAGTTTTCAGTTAAGCCTGACCTCAGAGGTTCCAGTGTTATGATAGCACAGTGAAGTTCAGCTCTTACTGTTTATATTTTTCACATATTGGAATAAAGAACAGGCAAACTCACCTTTATGCTGGTAAACAGTTCTAAAATGCACATTTTCTTTTACAATATTTTTTATAATTTTAATTATTGTGCTTTTGAGTATGGGTGTGGGTTCAGACAGGCCATGACTTGCATAGGGAGGCCAAAGTGCAAGTTATGTAGGGATTGATCTCAGGTCGTGAGGCTTTGTGGAAAGTGCCTTTCCCTGCTGAGCTACTTACTGACCCAAGGTGTGCATTTTCATACAGAGTTATAGATCTAACCCTGACAGGCAGCCTCTTCCCTTTCCTCCTGAGCCCATTGCACAGAAGAGAAATGCAGCCTTTTTGTGCATGCTTACATGCTCTGGGCCTGTCTTGATGACCAGGCCTGAGCTCTTGTTCAGGTGCTACTCTACAGTCTTTCCTACAGACCTGAATTACTGAGTCCCAGCAAGATGACCTTGCCAATGTCGTTTCGGCCCAGCAAAGTGTTGGGCATGGTTGCATCCTGCTCGTCCTGGCTGACTGCTGTTTTGTGTATTTTAGGCTTTAAAAGAGATAGATGAAGTTGGGGACCTACTGCAGCTGAAGTACTCACGCCGTCGGCTGGTGCCTCTGTTGGACAGGCCCTTCGATGAGACTACCTATGAGGAGACAGAAGACTGAGCCTTTTTGGTGCTCCCTAGAGGAGGGAACTCCCTCTCAGGACAGTGTGTGGCCTTTCTGAGCCAGTTCCAGAACCACACTTCAGTGACCACCTCATGTGAAAGACATTTCTGAAGCTACTGAAGGTGGCCACCTCCACTCCAAATGGCATTTTGTAAATAGTAAAAAACAAAAACTGCTTCACATTCTTCCATTGTTTGCTAAGTCTCACCTTTATATAATATATATATATATATAAATATAAATGATTACTTTGTCCATTAAAAAATGTTTTATTTTATAACTATTCTATTTGTGAAATCACGCTGACCCTTGCCTGTGGCTTACCACACAGGCATTCCCTACTCCAGCCACTTCCTGGGCTTGGATCCATCAAGACTTACCCTGGCCCTGGCTCTCCATCCTTGAGACTCACTGGCCCTCTCCTTAGGGAGCAAGTGCCTTCTGCTGACTTCCTGTCCTGGTCTCAGAGGTTGCGCCGAGCCCTCCCCCCTCCCCCCCAACCCTTATTTAACCAGTCAAGTTAATCAACCAAAGCATTGTATCTTTCGTCTTAAATGTTAACAATGCCAAGATGTTTATTATGTGACTCCCCCGGCCAAGGACCTCCCTAGACTGCTCTTACTCTTTGTTGTTGTTGTTGTTCTGATCACCTACTAACTTATTCATTATCGGCTATTTCTTCTTCCTATGCTCACAGACTGAAGATGTGTCCTGAGTTTGGGCTCTTCCCACAGTCTAACCCTAGTGCTTCCCACCTCCTGAGCTATGGCAGCCTCTGGCTGGTTCTGGGTCCAGATTAGGATTTGACTTGGTAAAGGAAAGTGTTGGTCAATCCTTTGCCCATGTTCCACTTCACCATTAGTGGTATAAGTTTTCCTTGTAGATGCTGACCCACTTGAACAGTGCTCTTCCAAATACCAGTTCTTCTACTTTTAAATGTCCTGAGACGATTTTAACCCAGCCTCTGGGGCTGGCTTCTCTCGTGCTTCCGTTGTATATTTTTTTTCCTTTGAGGAATTTCTGATCAAATACCTCTTTCCTAAACTGGAATAGCCTCTATTTGTCTGTCACCACTATGTCAGGGACTTCATCCAGAGCTTTGCACTGCTTGACCAAAGAACACATCTGAAGAACACCATCTAAATTACTTTTTTCTTTTGACCAAAGCTTAATTGAAGAGAACTTTTGGCTTTAGTGTCCTGAAAATGAATCTGTCTTTTAGTGGTGATCTAGTGTTATAGGGAAGGATTGAGAATAGAGTGGAAAGACCTGTATAAAAGTGTATTTCGTGTGTTGTTCTTTAAAAGTATTTTTATTGGTAAAGATGCCCCAACCAAATTCTCCTGTGGACCTCACTATCAGCTGCAGTGCATGGACTAGAAGACAGAAGCAATGTAGTTTGTGAAGTTCTGTTCTCGTGGCCTGGATCTAAGTCATCTTTGGTCCTCTTGACATCTGTTCAACCCTTAAGATGGTCTAAGTCATATGTGCCTTTTTTAAAGAATAGAAATGGAGCCAGGCAGTGGTGATGCACACCTTTAATCCCAGTACTAGGGAGGCAGAAGCAGGTGGAGCTCTGTGAGCTTGAGGACAGCCGGAGCTGCATAATGAAACCTGTCTCTAAAGAGAAAAAAAGAAAATGATAAATAAAATAACCACAGAAAGAGACAACTACATTTATTTATTTAAAAAAAAAAAAAAAAAAAAAAAGATTCCGTAAAACATCTTGCTCACTTTACCCCTGTAGAATCCCACTGGAATACCAAGTTTTGTTACTATTTAATGATGTAGACACAGGACTTACAAAAGTACCTAAGTGATGAACATGCCTTCTAGGCTTTCAGCTTACATAAAGTCACTTCAAACTAAAGTGTTATTGGTGGGCATTTTGTATACATACATACATACATATATATATGTATGTATGTGTATATATGTATGTATGTGTGTGTGTGTATATATATATATATATATACACACACACACACATCTCTTGATTGATGCAAAGTTTATTTCAGGCTAAATGTAATTAAGTTACAAGTTTATTTTGAAGAGACAAAACTCCTGTGATCTACTTCCTAGAGGACAAAATGATGTATGCACATCATATGTGACTGGTTACTTGTAACTCTGTAGTAGAAATCATGGGCATACCCATGTCATAGATCATTATCCAAATTTTGGGGCAATACAAGGGTATATTATTGAGTATGAGTAGAAGTCTGGATCTTAAAGAGACTCAAACATATATATGTCAGCCATCACCACCAAACCTGACTGCTGATTGGTCTGCAAGGCACAACTCATCCTAGCACTTTGCATTGTGCTTTTTATTATCATTGTCCTTATTCATTTCATGTTTGTTAGACTCACTTCACAGGTCACACCAGGCACCAGAACCTCATCAAAATCATGCACGAGACATGGCCCAAGGGGCAAGGCAGTGAGCATCTCCCCTCTATAGCATCCTGTCTAAGGCATCCAGCTCTCTTCAGTCCTTCATCGTGCTCTTCAACTCTTATGGTCCAGGCAGGGTTTCAAAATTGGCTTCTTCCTTGAGTCCTCCGGCCTCACTTCTGTCCCACACCCTCTTGTAGGTCAAAGGGTAGAGCATCTTCATAGCGATCGCCTCTGGTCCTTCACTCGTCCTCTCTCTGTCTTCTTGGTGATTGGAATTCTATGTCCAGAGAAGACATGCATGCTAGTGCAGGGTTTGGGGAGCTGTAGTGTAGACAGCCTGCTTCTTGCATGCACAACCATGCACTTCAGTGATTGGCTGGGCATCCATGTCTGAGTCTCCATGACTGTCTGGGTGTATACTATAATTTGCAAAAAAGCAGATTAACAGCTGATTTTCCGACTCTTTGGATAAAGGGAAAATGATATCTCTTACCGATTATATTTCCCAAATTGGTGAATCTGCCTAATTGTAGTATTTTTTACAAAACCCCCTAGAAAAGAATACCAACTTGTTCTCCTATGTAAGTGATTGCTATGGGTCAGATGTGGTGCATACCTGTAATCCCAATACTTAGGGGACAGAAGCAAGAGGAACTTCTAGAATTCTGGATTAACCTGGGCTACAGGGTAAGAGTCTCAAAAAAAGAAAAGAAAACAGTGGATTGCTAGACTGAATGCCAAGGACACTGTTGTAAGTAAGACATACCTGGGTGTTCCTGGCACTTTGCTTCAAGTGGGTTAGATAAATGGGAAGAATAGTTCTTTTTCTCTCTGATTGCCCTGTGCCTGTGATGACCGGGAGCTATGGGGTGTTTCTTACAGGTAAAATAACTTTAGCCTGGGGCTATGAAAGGAGAGGTTTGTGGACATCAAGATTATGCTTGGCAGTTTATCAAAGAGTCTATAGCCCCCACCCCCAGTTCCAGAACCTATGGATGAGCTGTACCTGTAAGCTCAGTGCCCAGCAGGCATCTTAATCCATTAAGCCGGTCAATCAAAATACCTTCCATGTGGAGCAAAGCATGTCCTTCTCCCCTCTGCTTTACCCACATGAAATGTGTGCTTGGGCTCCTAGCCAGCTGCTGTATCCAGCCAGATAGCCAACTCAGGGCTCAGAGAAAAGCTAGGGCCTGCCAGCAATCCCTTCCCTCGTCCTGCCTACAAAATGCTATTCTTCCTTTTGCAGTTTTCAGTGACTTCTGTTTCCAAGCAGCTTTTTTTTTTGCTGTATACTGGACTGTTTCTAGGAAGGAAACACAAGGAGCCAACTTAAGCCCTTAATGAAAATGACCATTTTCATCTTTGCTGAGTCTGAAGGTTGAACATTCACAGTTCACCCTTAGGAGCAGCTTTGGGGGTAGGGGAGCTGTGGGCAAGATTTTGTTTACTATGGTATGGCCTTAAATTGTTACTATTTCTGGTGTAATGGATTGTAATAAACTGACCCTGAAGAATGCCAAGGCTCTTACCCTGCACTTACTGTTTTTAATGTAGCGATACCTAAAGCTCTGGTTTTGGAGCAGTTGTGGGAAGCGGAATGAAAGGTGCCTGCAAAAGCAGTACCCGGATGTGCTGCTAAGTGTCTGAGCTCTTCCCTTGTGCAAGTGAACTCCAGCCAACCCAAGGTTTCTTGTGCAAATCCTGACTGTTTGGTGTTGGCCTTCCAATTGAGGTGGAGTAGTGACTTACCTTCCCCCTAACGTTGTATCGCAGGATTAGTTTGCCCAGTGGTTGGAGTTGAGACCTTCCTTATTGGGTCTTCCTTCACAGGGCACAGAAGCCTTTCCTGTGAGTTCAGCCTGCATGCCCTCAGTCTTGATCCCTCTCTGTACAAAGGCAGCTAACAATAAGGGATGGGGGGAAAGAGGAGAGCAGGTGTCTGTGGGAGAGCTGAATTAGGGTGGTCCTGTTGAGCCACGTTTCCCCACTGGCCTGTATACTGGAATGTGCATGGTGTACTGTGGTCTAACCCTTGCCATTGCTGCAATGTTCTTATCACCTGGGAATGTGGGATTCTTTTTTAGTTTTGGTAATGTCTTACAAATGTCACCCTTATGTAGCCTTCTGTCTTCTTGCCAGATGATGATTTTTTAAAATTTCATTTTATATCGGATGACTGTGAAGCTATACATAGTAGGTTGTGGAGGGTGTCAATTTTCAGAGTGCATGTTAAGAATTAAAGGGGACCTACTTGAGATGAATCATCCCACAAATATTGTTTTGCCCTAATAAAATATTCAGAAATAGACACCTACCTGCCTTCATTCATTCAGTCAATAAATCTTAGGTATTAACATCAATGCTAGCAAGTGTACTGGGCACTGCCAGCAACAGCAATGAAAAGATAGATGTAGACAAGTGTGTGAACATCCCATTTCTGTGCTAAGGGCTTGCACAGAAAACCCAAAGGGGATAATAGAAGTGGGTAACAGCTGGGCAGTGGTGGTGTACGGCTCTTTATCCCAGCACTCGGGAGGCAGAGGCAGGCAGATCTCTGACTTCAAAGCCAGCCTGGTCTACAGAGTGAGTTCCAAAATAGCTAGGGCTGTTACACAGAGAAACCCTGTCTCAAAAAAAAAAAGGAAGAAAGAACAGGGTAGCAGAGAAAACTTGGTGAGGATATGGAAAACATGACAGGTTTCAGTAAAAGACCTCAGTGAAGAGGCAGAGGCCCGAAGATGATTGCGAGTTTGGGGGGAGGGAGGCACTGCGCAAGGCTGGAGAGGCGAGGATGGTTATGCTGTCTTTGCAGGTTGGGGTCTGGGGAGGTGTTTGCTTTAGCTGTGAGGAAACCAGTGAAACGTTTTTCATTTTGTTCTTTCACATTTATTGGGGTGGGGGCGAGCATGTCTCTGTGTGAACATGCTAGTTCGCATGTGATCAGAGGGCAATTTGTAGAAGTCCATGCCTCTACCATGTGGGGTCCTGTCGACTGAACTCAGTAATATCAGGTTTGGTTTCAAAATGCCTTTACCAACTGAGCCTTCTTGCTGGCCAGAAAAATTTGCAGAGCTGATAAAGATGGCATGCTTTTTGTGAACACTGACAAGTTGATAAAACGTGCATGGAAATACAGAAGACATAAGAATCGTCTACAATTTTGAAAAATGGCATACATTGCCTGAAGTCTTTCTTTAGCATAGTAGGTATATTCTTGGCTTTAAGGTGCCTATAGATCACTAAATTCAGCAGAGTCCAGAAACAGACTCATGTGTAATGTGATCATTTGATTTTTTTTTCCTTCATTTTTTTCTTCCTTTCTTTGTTTTTGGGGTCTTTTGTTGTTTTTATTTTTGAAACAGGGTTACTGTGTAGCCCTAGAACTTGCTCTGTAGACCAGGCTGGCCTCAAACTCAAAGATCTACCTGTCTCCCTAGTGCTGGGATTAAAGGCATGTGCCACTATCGCCCAGCTTCAACAAAATATCCAAAGTACTTCAGTGAAGAAAATACAATTGCTGCTGGTCAGTGGTGGTGCAGCACAGGACTAGAGGAGTAGTTCAGTGGATAAAGCACTTGCCACTCAAGTATGAGTGCCCAAGCTCAGGTCCACAGCACCCGCCAGTACTAGCTAGCTAGACTAAATAAACCTGTGAGCTCTATGTTCAGAGAGAGACCCTGCCTCGGTAAATAAAGTGAAGAGCAGCTTCACATACACATGCACACCAAATATACACGCAAAGAATTTCTCTTAAAATCAACGAATTCACTAAAAATGGGCTGGAATGGTTAAGAGCATTAGCTGTTCTGGAGGACCCATGTCCAATACCCAACACCCTCATGGCAGCACGTAACTGTGACTCCAGTTCCAAGGGACCCAGTGCATGTGGCACTCAGACATATGTGCAGGCAAAATACCCACACACATAAAGTTAGTTTGGGGGCTTCAAATTTTATTTTTGTTTTTGTTTTTCTAGTCAGGGTTTCTCTGTGTGTTCTGGAACTCACTTTGTAGAGGCTGGCCTCACACTCAGAGATCTACCTACTTCTGTCTCCATAGTGCTGGGATTTCAGGCGTGTGCCACAACTGCCCAGCTTATAAAATAAAACAAGAATATTTGACCAAACACTTGTCCAAAAAGTCTGGCAAGGGGTGTGGTGGCACATGTCTGTACTCCCAGCATTTAAACAACTAAAAAGATAGTATCCCATTAAAAAAAAGAAGTTTAAATGAAAACAGTAAGATAACCCCATGCACACAGAATGACTAAAATTAGAAGAATTGTAATATTCAGTGGGCATAGATGTGGCGTAACTGGGGCTCTCTTAGGTTGCTGGCAGCTAGCATCTGAGAAACAAGATGGCTGCTTTACTTGGGTGTTTATTTACCCAAGAAAAAAGTAAAACATGGCCACACAGAACTTGAACACTCATAGCTGCTTTATTCATAACAGCCCCAAACTGAAAACAACTCACAAAACATTGTGTTAATGCAATGTACCCAAATGATAGTAACATGTACTACCCAGCAATGTAAAGGAACAATATCTATTAAATGTGTCGCTCAGAACAGAACACATGCTGAAGGAAGCCTACCCAAGAGAATACATCCATACAATTTTGTTGATAAGTTCTAGAAAAAGGCAAATAGGGGCACAGTAGCATCAGCTGTTGCCAGGAGCCAAGATTATGGGATGGTGACTATACAGAGAGATTGTTAAAAAAAAGATCATCTTCAAACAAACAAAAAAAAAAAAAAAAAAAAACCAAAACAAAACAAAAAAAAACATGAAAATCATGATTTTCTTAGAGAAATAAAAAATAAATGCAGAAAGTCTAACTCAGCAATGAGAAAATAAGATATGGAAGAACAGAAATTTACGATAAGAAGTATTAGAAATAAATGTGTATATGAAGGTAGAACTGGTTTCTTCCATACCTCAGGTAGACATCAATTGAACTTCTATGAGATAGGACAGAATTTGCATTCCAGTAGCCAAGAGTCACTTTGCTTTACTGTTGATAACTACAGATGTAACAATAGAGCTCAAAGACAAAGACTCATGGGATCATGGGAAGAGCAGCGCAGGATTACTCATGACTTTCTGTGTCCCCCCCCCCAAATTCTCATACACCTTTTTTCTTCATAAAGCACAGATAAAGAAATCACTCATAAGAAGCTCTAGTCAATGGGCATTGGTAGTGCATGTCTCTAATCCCAGCACTCAGGAGGCCGAGGCAGGTGGATGCCTGTGAGTTTGAGGCCAGCCTGATCTACAGAAACAGGCTCCAAAGCTACAGAGAAACCCTGTCTGGATAAAACAAAAACAAAAACAAACAAAAAAAGGCTCTAGTCTTAGCTATGATGGTAACATAAATACACACATTTTCTAAAAGTATCTGCTTAGTATGGCTGCAACACACATGCATGTTGCACACATGGGTAGGTGTGGGAGTTGGTTCCCTCCTTCCACTCCCTGAATTACAGGGATGGAACTCAAGTGGTTGACAGCAAGTGCCTTGACCAGCTGGGCCATCTCATTGGCCCACATGAATCTATACATTTCTTAAAACTCACTGAGCTGTACAGTTAAAATGGATATGTACCTGTTTGCCTGCATATATGTCTGTGCACCATGTTCATGCCTAGTGCCCATTGGAAGCCCATTGGAAGTGGGTGTCAGAGTCCCTAAAACTGGACTTCCAGACGGTGGCTGGATTAGTTACTTTTCCGTTGCTGTGATAAAACACCGTGAGCAAACTCAACTTATAGAAGAGTCTATTTGGGGCTTACAGTTTCAGAGGGATAGGAGTCATTCACCATCAGGGCAAATGGCACAACCATACCTGGAGCTGGAGCAGCTGCTGAGACCACACCCCAATCCACAAGCCAGGAAGCAGGGAGCACACTCAGAAGTGCCTTGAGTCTTTTGAAACCTCCAAGTTCTCCAGAAGTGACACGCCTCCTCCAACAAGCCACACCTCCTAATTCTTCCCCAACAGGTCTACCAGTTGGAGGACCAGCTGTTCAAACATATGAGTTTATGGTGACTATCCTCAAACCAGTGTAGACCCAGGCGTAGAGAGAGGCCTCTGCCTTTAATCCCAGCACTAGAGATGCAGAACCTGTAGGTGGGTCTCTGAGAGTTCGAGGACAGCAAAATGCTACATAATGAGATTATGTCTGGTGGGGAGGGGGTGGAGGGAATCAATAGTTGTGGGTGCTGGTAAGCTCATCTCTCCATCCCCTAGAAATGGTTATATTTTGTTATATGTAAACTGTGCCTCAATGAAATTGGTCAAAATCAGGAAAGATATCAGTTTCATGGCAATGTGGGAGCAATGTGGGAACAGGAGTGGGTGCAGCAGGACTCCTTTATTGACAGTTCAGAGGGGTGGGGAAGCTCGGAGTGAAGTAGCCATTGTCGACAATGAATGACAGGGAGAATTAATGAATGAACGAACGCGCTCATTATCCTCAGAGTCACATTTAATCTGGTAGAAAGTTTCAAAAGCAAGGCTAAAAGGCTAAATACCGGGGGAGAATGTAAAAGTGTTTATATTTTTAAAAATATAAAGACTTTAGTAAATGCAGTTTGATTTAGGACCTGCTCAGAAACTAAGGATTTTATTGACGAACATTTAAGTATTTATCATGTACCAGGCTGGCATCTTATGTAGCCCCTTTGACCCGACCTCAAGCCCATGCGTCACATCATTTACTGCCCCACAGCGTCTGCTGTTGTGGAGAACGGGAGTAACTTCAAAAAGCAAACAAACAAAAACCCGGTGCAGCTCTGAGAATTTCACTCTGCTTCAGCCACTCCTGAACAGACCACAACTGAGCATCTTGGCCCCTCTCTCCACTGCGCCCCCCCCCAAGTTCGCTCGTTTCAAGGCTCCCTCCTGCGTCCATCCCAGGTGGGCATCTCTTCACCCACACCATTAAGATTCCTGGTCTATGCCACAGCTTGGGGATTCAAGTTGCTCAGAGGTCGCCTCTCAGCGGCCTGCTATAAAGACCCAACCCGAGGGTCTGGCAGAAGGGGTTGGGCCGTCCCCAAAGATCAGCGACACCAGCTGTAGGACAAACACTCTGACCCCTGCGCTCAAGCCTTCCCCACCCCACAAGCCACATCCCGGGAATGTGGCTTGTGTGGTCTCCTGGTTCTGACCATCCTAAAAACTGAACGGGAACTGCGAGCAGGGACCGCAGGGTTCCTCGTCCGAGGCATCTTGCCAAGCCTACCTGGCTGCACGCACCTCTATGCTTGGGTTCCAGAGACTCCTGCCGCTCGCCGCGGGGCAGCCGCGCATCTCTGCCCGCGGAGGCCGGAGCTAGTTCAGGTGGCCGTCGTCGCGCCGTCGGGGAGCGCTACTGTGGCGCCGCAGCCTCCCCGCCCCTCATCAGTGGCCGCGCGGGGCTGCACAGCGCAGGGCGGCAACTTCCCCGGGACAGGAATTCGCTTGGGGCCGCGACGGCGACAGCGGAGGGGACTGGAGGCGGGGAGGCCGCCAGATCAAAGGAGCCGCCCGCGAGGCCGGGACGAGCCCGCGAGCGCCGAGGGGCCCCTCGGGGAGGGAGGGGGACACCAGGGCCACTGACCTGGATCGCGGACCCGGGCTCACCGGCCGCGCGCCCCCGAGCGCGCGCTCCCGCCTAGGTCCCCGCGCAGCCTTGTCCGGCCTGCGCCTCCGCCCGCGCTCCCGCCCCTGGAGGAGGCGAACGCGCTCCCGGGTCTGGCGGCTCCCGCAAAGCAGCCTCGCGGAGAGACGATGCGGCCACCACCCATGCGAGCGCGGCTCCCGCGCGCTCTGATGCTGTTGGCTGCGCTCCTGGCCACCGGCCGAGGGTTGCCCCTGAGGAAGCGGGGTCCCGGGCTCCACGGCCATTCGAGGATGGTGGAGGTGAGTGATGATTAGGACTGGAGGGACCGAGCGGGCTGGATGCCTCGGGGAGACGGGTTCCTCTGTGTATCCCTGGCTGTCCTGGAACCATTATGGCCTCGAACTCAAGAGATCCACCGGTGATGGCCAGGTACACTGAGCCTGCAGGAGTTTACATTCCCTACGGGTGGCCTGGAACCCAGGCGGCGCTGTAGCGTCCAGACTGCCGAGGAGAAAGTTGACTTTGGTTCCTGCTCTGCAGTGCCCCGGCTTCCTGGGTCCTATGCACCCCTTCCTTGCCCTGAGCGATCCTCATCTGCGGCCACACTGCTCTGAGAAGTCATGCGAGGTGGAGAAGGAAACTCCCCCCCAACCCCCTCCCTCCCGAGCTGTGCTCAGAGCTGTGGAGTGGTGGCCTGGGGCTGCCAAGGTGGGCCACCCTGCAGCAGCCCCTTAATTCTAATCGGCCAAGTTTGCATTAGGAGTTGAGGCAGGCTGAGGTAATCAAGGGCGTTCGGCACCTCACTGCACTGTCAGCCGTAAGATAGAAGAGCAAAGTGAAAGAGTGCAGGCTGTGTTAGACAGTAGGTCATGCGGTTTCGGTCACCAGGGCTCTGCAGCCCTGCCTGATGCTCTCCTCTCAGCGTTTCAGTGGGCATTCCCCAATCCCCATTTCCATGGAGGCTGGTTTGTATTCTAGAGCCAGCCTGCCAAGTCCTTCTTGCCCCAGCTGTTCTGGAGGAAGATCCTCATTTCCAAGACCGGAAGGAAACTGAGGGGGCCTGGACCTGTATGAAACAGGAATCGGGACTTCAAGACTTGGGCAGGAGTTTGGACCCTACTGTTAGGCTCAGGCTACCAGAGGCCTCCAGGGGCTGGCAACCCTTCCTTAACTTTATGTCCTATGGCCCTTAAGTAACACAAACCATTATCACCTCTAAGGCATTTTTTCTCCTTAGGTTCCCCGCTTTCCCCTGGTAGGAATGCATACTGTAAACCACAGGGTTGGAAGGAGAGCTTCTGTCATTCTGGGACACGGAATTTGTTGTCCTGGGAATAAGTGTGCTGTGCTTTGCAAGATGCCTACCACTGTTCCTAGCCATTGCCATAGGGCCAGATGCTGTCAAATGTTTCCTTGGGGACACACACATCTACCTGGCTATTGTTGAAAAACACTGATGTGGACAAATGCAGGGATTTCTGAACTGGATGCACAATCGAACACCTGTAATTCTAGCATTCAAGGTCCCAAAGGAGGAGGCTCACATTTCTGGGGCCAATATGTGCTATATAAAATCTCTGGATAGTCTGAGCCATAAAGCTACGACTGTCTCAAAGGAAAAGGAAAAAATAAAGCAATGAAATAATTAGAAACAACCATAGCAACAACAACAATATAATAACAAAAACAAACCAACACCAACAACAAAAAAGAGACTTTTGATCAGTCTCACTCTTAACCTGAGGATAATGATAGTGTTCAAATTAAATTGGCTTAGTAGGGCATGGGGACACAGGCTTGTGATCTCAGCACTGGGGAGGTTTAGATATGAAGATCAGAAACTCGAGGACATTTCTAACTGCTTACCAAGTTTGAGGCTACCACGTGAAAGCCTGTCTCAAAATAGAATAAAATTAATAAAAAAAATAAATAACTTGGCCTTATTCCTGTTCTCTTGGCATTAGTAGTTCTTATTTTAACTCATCACTTAGTGCTGTATTTATTTTTTGTATGTTTTAGTATGAGGGGATGTGTTACTTTAGAATCAGAATGGTATCCTTAGGCCCAGGATAGAGCCTGGCATAGCTCTGAAAAATACCTAAACATAGCTGGGCATGGCAGCACACACCTTTAATCCCAGCACTCAGGAGACAGAGACAGGCAGGTGAATTCCAAGCTAGCCAGGGCTACATAGTGAGACCCTGTCCCCCCCCAAAAAAAATCAAAAATAAGTAATTAAAAAGTAAAAATGAGACTACATCATCTCCGTGAACACATTGGTGTATGTTTCCAAAATCTGTAATTTCAAGTCAAGGGTCCTGTTGAGAAAGTGCAGATAGATATCCTGGGTGCTGAGTCAGAAATAAATGACCTGCCCAATAACCTGGTTCCTCAGTGGACCCACATAACTAAAGCCACAAGGTGCAATCCCATTTGTTAGGGAAGCTGAGGCAGGGGAATCATGAACTGAAGGTCATTCCTGGCTGCGGAGAAAGATCCTATCTGCAAGAAAAATCAAGTCACAGAGATGTTAAATATAGATGGGAGCAAGGCCAGCGACAAAGCAATGTTCCACAAAGGTCGGTGCATCTTTACATGGCATATCTGATACTGACCAGATGTTGCCATGCCAGATGTTGCCAAATTGTTTCCTGAGAGAAACACACCCCACATCATGCCTGCATCATTTTATTTTATTTGGTGTGGTTGTCAAAAAGTCCCACTTGAGACAAATCCAGAGGCCTCAGAGCCAGATGTGTGTGAGTGCCCCTGTGATCCAGCAATGAAAAGACCCAGGGACTTTGTGAACCAATTGTGTCGCCCCTGACTCCAGCAGGCCTGACACAGAGCCTCAGTTTACTTCCACAGTAAAATGGGTTCAAGAACCCATTCTGTGAACTGGAGTGTTGAGTAAGAAACCTTTGGACTCACAGATACAATCGTCCAGTCACCCAAGGACAGGGTGAGAACTAGACAGGCAGGCACAGTATGACACAGCTCTGCCCCCTGCCCCATTGAGATACAAATGCCACCCAGACAATCCATGAGGCTGGCCTCTCTCGTGTGTTGTTTTATTCTCATGTAGGGAGGCAGGAAGAGAGAGTGAGCCCAGTAACTAACCCAGGCCTAGTATGTGGAGAGTCCTGCTGGTACCGCAGCCTGACACCCTGGCAAGGTGTGAGAAAGTTAGGAGAGGACTAGGTGGTGGGGGCCAGAACAAAGCAAAGAGAGAAATGGGGACAGCTTTTCTGGGCTCCCAGGCCTGGAGGGTGCCCTCATGACACAGTTCCAGAGGTTCACCCAGCAGCCCAGGTCTTGCCGCCACGGTGGGTCTTGCCGCCATGGCGGGAAGCACTTTGAAGGGGCCGGCTGACAGACAAGGACTGAGTACAGAGGAAGGGCCTTGGGAGTCCCGACACCTGGCAAGGTGCCCACACTCCTCTTCCGATGTCACAGGAAAGCAGGCCCAGATGGCAGGAGAGGGAAGGGGTTTGGAAGGTCTCTGGTGTCGGGTGGGCAGCCTAGAGATGCAGGTGTTTTCCTAGAGGTAGCCCTTCAAGAGCCTGGGGCCTGACTGTCTGACTAGTCAAGAGGGGAGCTCCATGGAGCCACTTTAATACCAAACCTAGGGCTTGTCTTTGCAGCCTCCAACTGCATCTGCCCACCTCCCTGGATCTTCTTGTCCCTCCAGACCACTCTCTCTCTCTCAGTGGGGAACAAAGAAGAAGCTGGTCAAGGGAGAGAAGACCACACAGGGATGGGGGTGGGGGCCTGGATCTCAGCTGCCTGATCTCAGTTGGTTCCCTCTTTCAAGGGTCAAAAGCAGGCCTAGGGGTGTGGCTTGGTTGGTAGAGTTCTTGCCTAGTATACACAAAACCCGGCACTTTGTAAAAGGACAGATACAGTGGTGCACACCTGTAATCCCAGGACTCTGGTAGTGGAGGCAGGAGGATCAAAAATCCAGGGTCATTCCCGAGGTCTGCCTAGACTGTGTGAGACCCTGTCTCCAAACAGTCATAACAACGACGACTATTATAGTGGCCAAAACGGACGAGAGGCAAAAGGAAGACGTGCCCTAGTGGCGTAGGGTCTTGCTCACTCAGCACTGTAGAGCAGCAGGCAGCACACCTGAGCTAGAGCCCCTGCCTGGAGTTAGCAAGGCACTGGAGTTCAGAGGGCAGACTCCTCCCTGGCCTGATGCCTCAGACGCCATGTCGCAGCCTTGGCTGGGTAAAGAGGCAGTCGATTCGCCTCTCTGGTCCTTGGTGCCTCACCTGTGAACCAGGGGTGATGTCAGGACCTGCCCAAAGGGTGGTCGTGGGCATTCCGAGACCCAGTCCCTGTAGTTACCCAGCAAGCCTGGCTGTGTAGCTAGCTGTAGGCGCTTAGAATCTCACACCAGCAAGAGCAGAGCAGTCAACCTAATGGGCCCTGGGAAGCACACCACGAGGCCTGACCTGTGCTGACGGAGCGCTTTGCCAGCAGTGCCCTTTGAGGTCCCCACTGGGTGTCGGGGTAGGCGGTAGAACAGTCTGTACTAATCAGGAGGAGAGCAATCCTGTTCCTCTAACCCACGGCCCACCGCTAAGTGTCTGTCTAGACCTTCTGCGAGACCAAAGCAACCGAGTGTACAGTCAGGCTCTGTGCGTATGGGCCAGGTCTCAGAAGCTGGGCTCCAAGGAGGGGCAACAGTGACCTACACCTGAGTCCAGATTCTGGTATGGGACAAGCTCCTGACCCCTGAGGCACGGGGGTGGGAACAGGCCAGTGGGCAGATTTGGCTCTGTGGTAAAGAAGGGGATCAGAATATTGAGCCCATCTGGAAGCACTCGGTCAGTGCCGCCTGGTCAAGCCACTGTGTATGTGTGGGGGGTAATCATGAGTCCTAGTGCCCTGGTGTAGTTATCGCAACCTCTGAGATCTTCCTCTAGAGCACTAACATAAAGAAGGTGGTGTTCACCCCTCAGGGTTGCTGGTTCATTTATTCACTCAGCAGGGACTTAGGGCGCTCCTGCAGGAAGGACATCAGGGACTCTTAAAAGCTGGGGATGCAGGGAACAAAGAAAGGCAGCTTTCTGTCTCTACAGGAGGTGCTCTTGGATGGAAACTGGTTGGAGTGAATGATGGCCAGCAAGTAGAGATTAGCCCAGGCACGGGGACTCAGGTGCGCTGGAGGTTGGCTGCAGGCCAGGACTCTGTACTCTATTTATGTACTTCCCGACCTTACTTCCAGGTGTTAGCGCCCAGGAGTCTGAGGGTTTTAAACTTTTCTTTCTTTCGTCATTATTATTATCATTGTTTTACGTGTGGGGGAGTTTTATCTAGTCACTCGATGTGCACGTGATGCCTCAGACACTAGAAGAGGGCACCTAATCTCCAGAAACCGGAGTTACAGACAGTTGACAGCTGCCATGTAGTGCTAGGTACTGAACCTGAGTCCTCTGGAAGAGCAGCCAATGCTCTTAAGCACTGAGCCAACTCTCCAGGCTGGGAATGGGAGCTAGTACCTTCCTGTAGATATTAATGCGAAGGTGCAGTGAACAACAGAGTGTTTAGAATAGGAGACTAGGGGTGTGGCTCAGGTAGTGGACTGCCCAGTTAGCATAGGTGAAGCCCTGGGATAGATCTCTGGCACCACATAAAAACAAGCATGGTAGCACACATATAAGATAGAAGCAGAAAGGTCAGGTGTTCAAGGCCAGCCTCAGCTCCATGAGATCCTGTCTCATAAATAAATATATGTGTTAGAGGTGAGGTGGGAGGTGAGGGTATTAGTTGGTAAAGTGCTTTATAGGGCCAGGTGTATGGTGTACACCTTTAAACCCAGCACTCAGGAAGCAGAGGCAGGCAAAACATCCATGCATATAAAATTAAATTTTTGTTGTTGCTGTTGTTGTTTCCAGACAGGGTTTCTCTGTGTAGCTTTGGAGCTTATCCTGGCACTTGCTGTGTAGTCCAGGCTGGCCTCGAACTCACAGAGATCCACCTGCCTCTGCCTCCCGAGTGCTGGTATTAAAGGCGTGTGCCACCACCGCCCAGCTATAAACTGAAACTTTAAAAATATTTTAAAAGGCAGATGGCATCTGAAGAATGGCAGCCAAAGCTGTACTCCAGCCTCCACAGGCATGTACACGCGCATCTGCACACACACACACACACACACACAGTGTAAAAAAAAAATGGCCTGGGGTGGTGGTGGTGGTGCACACTTTTAATCCCAGCACTTGGGAGGCAGAGACAGGTGGATCTCCATGAGTTCCAGGCCAGCCTGGTCTACAGAGTAAGTGCCAGGACAACCAGGAATACACAGAGAAACCCTGTCTGAAAACAAAACAACAAACAAACAAACAAAAAACAAAATAAAATAAAAACAACAGTAACAATAAAAACAAAACCAACAAAAAAGGCTTGAAAAACGACTACTTTGTGAACACAGTTCATTTTCTGCCTAGTTGTACCTCAGCCTATCCACTAGGGCCCTTAAAGCTTTCCAGACACATACTCCAGATGCCCTGTCACAGGCAAGCGTCTGGTACAGCCGGGCCAAGGGCTCCTACCTCCTACACCCAGTCCCTTTCAGGACACATGGGATAAACTCTGACATTAATCGCTCCACCTTCCCTTTCTCCCCAGGCTTCACCTGTCTCAGATCCCGGCTCTCCTCAGGAAAAGGAAGTAACACCAGGCTTTGCTGAAGACCATCTTCAGACAGAGCCATGTCAACCCAGGTGTCAGACCCTCCCTGAGCCAGCAGCTCTGACTCTAAGTACAGCCACCCCTCCTAGGACTCTAGGACACACACCCTTGCTGTTGGAGCTGCAGAAGCTGCCAGGATTGGCCAACACAGACTTGAGTGCTCCGAACCCCAATATCCAGGTGAGGCTGTAGAGGAGGTGTTTGTCTAGGGGATCTCTGGAGAGGTGCTAGGCTGGCAACTGAGCCTCTCCTTATCCTCTGCTGTCTGTGTGCAGACAATGAACCTCCTCATGCAATGGGAGAAGAGTATCTGCCCCTCTCCTTGCCCGAAAGTCCGTTGGCTCCTGAACCTTGACCCTAGATGTAGCAGGGGACAAATCCAGCAACCTGGTAGGACTATCTTGAGGATTGAGTTCAGGGACACCCTACCCTAATACTGTCAAGGATCCTGGAGTGCCTTACTGCATGTAGAAAAGGGATTCATGCCGGAATGGGGGGGTGGGCTGCTGGAACATGGGAAAGTCCTCAGAAGGGTGTACCAGGAAAACAGGCAGAAGTCAAGCAGTGTCTTCTACTGCCTATCCTGAATCCAACAGCATTGTATCAAATACAGAGTCTCTGTGTATTATTTGGGGCTGGCATGGTGGTGGGACAAGACCAGGCGGCGGGCAGAAAAACATTACTCCCTACAGCAGATTAGTTTGTTTGTGTAGCAGAATACTTTGGCCAATGGAAAGAAAGACTGTAAAAGTGCAGGACGTTCTATGATTGTTTCAAAGTCTGTCTACCTGTATTAAAATAATATATACACGTGTACACACAAAAATCACAGGTGTCTCTCTTAGTGGTGTAATGGAGGTGATTTTCATTTGTTTGTTTTTCAAGACACAGCCGCTCAATGTAGCCCTGGCAGTCCTGAAACTTCCCTGTAGACCAACTGGCCTCGAACTCAGAGACCTACCTGCCTGTGCTTCCCAAGTGCTGGGATTAAAGGCATGCACCTTCACATCTGCTTCACTTTCTTCTCTGTATTGTACTGTTTACCCCCAAATTTTGTTCTGTGACCTCCTATTATTTGAAAGTACCCAAGAATAATGTTTTTCAAGTTCATATTCATGGTGCTGGTTATTTATTTATTTGTTTGTTTATTTATTTACATGGTTAGTACATTTGGAACACTCCAGATGGCAGTCTGGGGATCTTACACAGGACATCTTATCCCCAGCCCTGCTCTGGGCTTTTTCTGGTCCTTGAGGCCAAGCAGGAAGCAGAATTCCAAACAGCTTCTCCTAAACTAGTGGGCCCGTGTGTCTACATCCAGCTGACTCTGACACACAGGAGATCCTACCCCGTGCCCTTTGTTCCCTAAGAGGCAGGGAAGCCAGCAGCCTCGGTGGCAAGGATGGGCCTCCTTAGCTTCTGGTTCAAACCCATCTCTTTGCTGAGCCTGTCTGTCCGGCACGTCTGTCCTTCCCACAGGTGACCATCGAGGTGGTACAGGACCCCCAGGCTGAGGTAGAGATGGACTTGCCTTCTGAACCCAGCAGTCTCTGGCCCCTGCGCGCCCCCAGCTGGCTGCCCACCAGGGAGTTCTTCTGGCCCCTCTTCTGGGGCTACCAGGAAGGTGAAGAAGGAGGCACCAGCCTCAAAGACACAGCCCCAGGGGCAGTGGAAGAAGAGGAAGGAAAGGGTTATGCTGCAGAGTACGGTGACGGTGATGACCAGGAGGGCGGTGAAGAGGACAAGGACGAGGAGTGGTGGCCCAGTGGAACCACAGACAACTGGGACTATGGCTGGCTGGGTCCTCAGGACCAGGACTTCCAGGAGTCAGACGGCTATGGTGAGTGGCCCAGTTTGGCATCCTCAGCGGCTGCCCTGCTAGGTTCTGAGTGGGAACGAGTTGGAGGGGGATGGGGAAAGCTTCCCAGGCCAGGAGAACTGGGCAGGTCAGCAGCCTGGGCCTATACAGGTACCACTGAAACTCCAAAGGGACCCAGTCAGAATTAATTTCTTCCCTCCAACATTCAACTTGCACTACCGCTCTGAGCTCCCCTAAGCAAAAGCTACTTAATAGCATAAATATTTATATTTATCAGTTTCTAAAATAAAAAAAAAAAAAACTGAAAAATACTCAAGTTACCACTCACAGTGAATCTCATTTTGAGATGGTGAGTTTGACTACTGACCCTGCAGCTTAGCTGCTGAGTCACCCCAGGCAAGTCACTTAACCTCTCTGTGTCTCTGCTCTGTTGTCTCTGAAACAGGTAGTCATGTGTCTAAATGACACGGAGTCGGTGTGACAGTAAATAAACAAGCTTATATACAGCCAGATATGGTAGTACACAACCCTAGCCTCAGCGCTCAGGAGCCCAAGGTAGGAGGCTGAGAGTTAGAGACTAGCCTGGGCTATGCAGCAAGTTCCATGCCAGCCTGAGCTACCTTGAGACCTTGCCTCAAAAAGTAAAACAGCTGGGCTATTGAGATGGCTCAAGGGATAAAGCACTTATAATGCATGGTTGAGGACCAGGGTTCAACTATTATGGAAAAAAGCCTGGTGGTATGTGTGCCTTTAATCCCAGCACTTGGGAGGCAGAGGTGGGTGAACTTTGTAAGTTCAAGGCCAGTCTACAGAGTGAGTTCCAGAACATGGTGTTTGGAAAACAAAATAAAAAACAAAACAAAACCAAAAGCCAGCTGTGGCAGTCCACCTGTATTCCCAGCATGTAAGAGGTAGAAACAGGCAATCCCCAGAGTTAGCTGACTGGCCACACTAGCTGTGTGGCAAGCTCTGGGTTTTAGCAAGGGGCCCTAAGTCAACACGTAAGGTAGAAAGTTATTATAAAACAACAACAACAAACAAAAGACACCCTGCTGGGCAGTGGTAACACATACCTTTAATCCCAGCACCCAAGAGGTAGAGACAGGGGGATCTCTGTGAGTCCGAAGAAGCCAGCCTATTCTACTGAGTGAGTTCCAGGACAGCCTTCAAAGCTACAGAGATACCCTGTCTCAAAAACAAACAAAAACAAAGCACCCTATGTCAACCTTGGGGCTACCCACACAAACACACGTACACCCCCAAAGCATGTGCACCTCCACATATATGAGCACACAAGGACTCATGCCACATCCATACATATGCCAACAATGTATACGTGAAGTGTCAGCCTGTGATAAAGAACGTGCTGGCTCTCTTTATACCTCCTGCTGGGACGGCCATTTGTGCACGTGGTGTATTTCCCATTGCCTCTGGGTACACAGTCTCACTCTCTGCCGGAAGCCCTGAGGTCTTGTTCTCGGATTGCTGAGGTGCCGGGGGATTAAGACTAAATCAGACAAGCTCTTCCCGATTTCCTAAACTGATGTAAACAGACCCTTCCAGGAGTCTCAGCGTTTCTCCCATTCATCACCCTCCAACTCCTGGTGCCAGCTGGCTGGAGGCCTGCCTTGGAAGCCAGCGAGAACAGTGTGCCAGACCGGTGGAATTCCACACTGAGACTCAGACACAGGCCTGGGCTGGGGTGTTTGAGCTCTCCCAGGTAAAGAAAGGGAATCAGGAGAATCTGTAATAACCCCAGACCTAGGGAGGAAGTATTGCCACCCTTGAGTTCCCGCTCCTCCTCTTTGCTACTATTGGAGACAGAGTATCCTGAGTCCCAGGCTGGCTTCAAACTTAATAGTCAGAGGCTCTTATCTTTCTTCCCTTGTCCCTGCTGCTGGGATGGCAGTCAGTCGCCACCACACCTGAGGCTGGGGATGGAGCCCAGGGCCCTGTGCAATGCTACACAGGCACTATTGACCACTCTTCCTTGGTTTTGATGGACATTAAAAAAAAAAAAAATGCTAGCTCAGAAATGTAAAGGACTTGCCTAAGGTCACACTGATAGTGGGCCTGGTGGCTTCTAGTCCCAAATATCCCTGAGTTGACACAGTGGGTGGTTAGAGTGTGTTCCGTCTCAAAAGCACCTCCCGATGCATTTGCGCAGCAGTTCACTGCACATGGACATCTAGCTGAGAGGATGGGGGTAGGGGCTGGCTGGAAGCCAGTTATGCTCCATACCTTGGCCAGGGATAAATTGCTAATTTGCACCAGTGTGTCCTGGTGGCTGAGGACACTCATCCTGGTCCTTTGCTTCAACCCAGACTACGAGCCTCAGGAGGAGTGGAGCACCTGGTCTCCCTGCAGTGGAAGCTGCAGCAGCGGCCACCAGCAGAGATCTAGGCCCTGCGGCTATGCCTGTACCGCCACAGAGTCCCGGGTCTGCCACCTGCCCCCCTGTCCTGGTGAGATGAGCTCCAGCCCCTGCATGGGAGTGGCTAATGGGGCTCACAATCTGAGCTTGGTTCCCGGATAAGGTTTGAAAATGGGATGCTCGTAGGAGGGGTGGGCTCCGGAGCGGGGTATGGGAAGCTCACCGATATGGTGGTCCTGACCCAGGCCTGTCCCAGATGCTGTGGGCACCGAGAGCCTAGTGAGGGCTGGGCTTCCCTATCGGGAGCACAGAGGTGCCCTGGGGTGCCACCAGCCTGGCCTCCTCTCTTCCTAAAGGCACAGAAGAGGAGCACACCCTGGGCTTTCCCAGTGAGGGGCGCCAGCCCCTAGCCCACAATGCTACGGATATGCTTGATCCAGGTTAGTGGTGGGGAGGGGGCTAGACTTTGCTACTGGGTCGTGGGGAGCCTCCCTCGGGAGGAAGGGGCATCACTGTGTAGCAGGAGTCACCGGGCACATATTCCTATGGGAGAGATTGTAGCCAATTATCCTTGCCTAGCTCTGGATTCCTACCAGGAAAGGGGTGTCGATGGGAACCCCAGAGCTAGGAGATGTTGAAGTAAGGGGAAGAGGGAGCTTCTACTTCCACTCCTTGGTTAGTTTTTGGAGGCCTCTGGAAGTCTCTGTCTAGGGAGTACCTGTCGAATGAGCCAGTGTTCCAACATCCCGGGTTGTTCCCTGAGGACAGCAGGACACAGACCTTGCTTTGACGGCACACTCCCTGCTGGTGTTCCTGGGCCTCACCAAAGGCATGGCTCATGAGTCTAAATTCTACAAAGTGAAATGGAAGCTTCCTGACCCTGTGCCGTGTACTTGGGCCTACAGTAAGGCTAAGCTTCCCTGGAGGAGGTCCGGCATCTGTCCTCAAAGAGGTCAGGTCTCATGGGGGTGCACACGGCCTGCAATGTGAAGGACAGAGAGCCAAAAGGAAAGGGTGCCTTTTCTGAGTGGCCAGACTCTGAGGTTACATGTTGCTAGGGAAAGAGGGGAGGAGGCTGCAGAGACAGGAAGTCACAGAAACTCAGAACAGTTGAGCAACTCACCAAGGAACCATACCCTAAGAAAGGCTGCTAAGAATTAACCAGCAGGGCAGTGGTGGCACATATCTCTAATCCCAGTACTCAGGAGGCAGAGGCTGGAGGATTTCTGAGTTTAAGGCCAGCCTGGTCTATAGAACAAATTCTAGGATAGCCAGGGCTACAAGGAGAAACCCTTTCTGGAAAAACAACAAACAAATAGAAGGAGGAAGTAGAAGAGAATTATTGATCGGCAGATGGAAACAAGTGGATTAGTTCAAGGCTAGTCTTGGCTACATGAGACCTTGTTTCCAGAAGTAAGGAAGGTAGGGAGGAGAGGGGAGGAGCAAGAACACTGAAAAAAAAAATTTTTTTTTTTTTGTTAAAAAAAACTGTTGTCCTGACAGGCGTTGGTGGTGCACACCTTCATTTCCAGCACTCGGGAGGCAGAGGCAGGTGGATCTCTGTGAGTTTGAGGCCAGCCTGGTCTACAGAGCAAGTTCCAGGACAGCTAAGGCTGTTACACAGAGAAACCCTGTTTCAAACAAAACAAAACAAAACAAAACATCATTGTCTTTTTGAGCTGGAGAGATGACTCAACTGTTACAAGCACCAGCTTCTCTTTCGGAGGACCAAGTTTCAATTTTTCAGCATCTGCTTGGGGGCTTCAGTCTCAGAGATCTGCCATACTCTTCTGTCCTCCACAGGCTCTGTGCATACGTGACACACAGACATACATTTAGGCAAACACCCATGCACATAAAATGAAAAACAAAACAAAACTGTTGTCCTTGGTGGGAGATAATAACTCAGTTGGTAGAAAGCTTGCCTAGCACTCATGGAGCCTTTGGTTCACTCCTAACAGGGCATAAACTGGGCATGGTAGGGTACGCCTGCAACCTTACCACTTGGGAGATGGACACAGGAAGATTAGAAGGTCAGTCACCCTCTGCTACATAGCAAGCTTGAGCCCAGTTTAGACTACAAGACCCTGTAGAGTAAAACAGCAAACAAAACAGAGAAACAAACTTGTTCCCATCACATTCCCACTTATCACGGCTCCCTCCTATGATCCCAAGCTCTTTCCCACAATCCAGAACCGAAAGAGATGATGCCAGTGTCCCACAGGGGGCTGCCAATGCAAAGCTAGTGTCTCTTCTGAGCCACAAATTCCTGCTTCGGGTGCCTGGATGGTGAGGGGTGTCATTTTCTGATCTATGTCTTTCTTGAGTCCTTCATTTCCGACCCAGGAGCTCTCCTGAGCCATGCCTTTGCCCCAGCTGGGGGCTTGGATTTCCTTTCCACAAGATTGACCTTGATCAGCCTCCTCCCTACCATGGGGCTGGCAGGCAACTCTGATGAGCCCTCTCATGTGCCTCCTTACCCTCTGCAGATGTGGACAGCTGTGAGAAGTGGTTGAACTGCAAGAGTGACTTCCTAGCTAAGTACCTGAGCCAGGTGCTCCAGGACCTGCCCAGCTGCCCATGCGCATACCCTCTGGAGGCTGTGTACAGCGCCGTGAGCCTGCGGGATGAACATCAGGGCCGAAGCTTCCAGTGGCGGGATGCTAGTGGCCCGCGTGAGCGCCTGGACATCTACCAGCCCACTGCACGCTTCTGCCTTCGCTCCATGCTGTCAGGCGAGAGTAGCACACTGGCTGCCCAGCACTGCTGCTATGACGAAGGCAGCCGGCTGCTGACCCGAGGCAAGGGGGCTGGAGCTCCGGACCTAGTCAGCACCGACTTTTCTCCTGAGCTGCACTTCAAGGTAGATACGTTGCCCTGGATCCTGTGTAAGGGGGATTGGAGTCGCTACCACACCGTGCGCCCCCCCAACAATGGCCGGGCCTGCGCAGACAACCCACCCGAGGAAGAGTACCTGGCCCAGCTGCGGGAGGCCAAAGAGTACTGAAGAGGGATTAGAGAACGGTGCTTCTGCCCATTAGGGTTCTTCTGAGAGGTAGTCTGGACTGCATACCCCCTCTTGTGACGCTGAGTCAGGAGAGCCCAGGTATCTCAAGGATTGATGAGGAGGTTGGAGGGTGTGTCAGGGTTAGGGCCGCTGGGCTGTGTTGGGTTGTGTCTTGTGTCTGAAGGAGAGGAGTTGTTCCAGTCTCGCCATGCGCCCTTTCTCCTTTCCTGCAGAGCAGGGCCCTTCTGCAGCTCTTTCTGCTCAGGGTTGAGCAGGACGTTCCAGATGCACCCAAGTTCCCAGGGTCTGCTGTGAAGTCCTCAGATCTCCCCCTCCCCCATGGCCAGTTGAGGAAGAGCACAGGGAGGGGGTAGAAAGGACAGACTTTCATCTGACCTCACAGCTGCCCCTTGCTGGGCTAGCAGAGCCAAGGTGACCTCCCCTCCTTTTCTCCTACCCCATCCCATGCTGTGAGGTCATCAAGGGGGCTTGAGAGGACAGCTGAGGGGGTGTTGATTTGAGGCCGGGAACTGCCAGCTGTTTCTGGTCCGTCTTGGTTCGGTCCCCAGATGGGAAGAATACGCAGACTGCCACTGCCACAGCAGCCAGGCTTGGGGTGGCCTCAGAACTGGGGGTGGGCTCAGGAGGGTGTCATGTGCCTGTAGTGGTTGCTAACCCAGGAGTGTGGCAGGGTAGACAGTCCTACTGTTCCAGTTTGTGGTGTCAGACACCAGCACCCATCCACTTCAAGTCCCCACGTGGCGCCTTTGAAAGCCGGCCGGGAGATGTGGGCTTCGGCTCCCAGCACACCTGTGCCTCTTCCCAGCCACTTCTTACCCCCCAAACAACCACACTTTGTCTTCTCTGGAGTGGAAGTGTTGAAGAACCAATGTTTTGTCTCCATTCACAAATCTTCCAAAAGGCCTTGGAAGGGGACTTGAGTTCCAGCCCCCTCCACAGCTGTCCGGAAGCTGTCCCGAGATCCTCAACAATAAAGCACTTTATTTTCAGACACTGTTTGATAAAGGGTTTGGGGCCTGCCAGAATGGAGTGTGCAGAGGCCCTTGCTTATCATCCAGGTCAAGCTCCCCTTGGCTAGACTTGTGATCACCAAGTCAACTTCTTTCCTTTTCCTAAAGCAGCTGCCCTTGGGGCTTCCTGAAAGCAGGGACTAGATGCAAGCCATTCCTTATCCCTGTTCACCCCCAGAGAGGGCCACCTTCGAGCCTGGCTAGGAGCTGGCTAGACCCAGAGGCACAGAACTCCAAGTCTGTGATGCACAGGAAAACTGCCTTTGCTCTCCAGGGAAGTGATGGGCTTGGAAGGGAACCCGCCTGAAGTGAGAAGTCCTCCTGTACTTCCCCTTAGCTGCAGTACCCCACAGTCTTCCCTGGTGTTTGGGGGAAGGGCAGAGTTATGGCATGGTTTATCTTAGTCTGGGTCCAGACAACAGTCTAAATCTGTTCTCGTGCAAATAGAAAATTAATGGGTTGGAGCAGAGCATCTCAGGTCATCAGGTAGGAGCCAGGTTCACTCCCTTTTTGTTACCTAAGGAGTTCAGTGCGGGCCTATAATGCTAGTCCTTGGGAGGCTAAGACAGGAGGGTGATGAGGTGTTTTATGTTTTGTTTGGTTTGGGTTTTTGGACAGGGTTTGTATGGTTTTAGAGCTTGTCCTGGAACTTGTACTGGCCTCAGACTCACAGAGATTTGTCTGCTTCTACATCCCAAGTGCGGGGATTAGAGGCATGCACCACTACTGCCCAGTGTTGTTTATTTGACCTGGTTTTTTTTTTTTTTTTTTTTTTTTTTTTTGAGACAGGGTTTCTCTGTGTAACCCTGGCTGTCCTGGAACTCACTCTGTAGACCAGACTGTCCTTGAACTCACTGTGATCCACCTGCCTCTGCCTTGTGCTACCACCGCCCAGCTAGGTTTTATGAATTTTAAATTATCTCCCTGTCTACACATCAAAGTAACTTACCAACTGTCTGCCAGCTTGAATGGAGTCAGGAGGTAGAGATATTATGTTCTACTAAAATTCTCCCCTTGGGGACCAAGGGCAAGTCCACCATGGAGTAGGTAGACTTTACTTCTGTTAGTCATTTAAGAGCCTGAAGGGGCTGGCGGGCAGGATATGTCTGTCCTGAGAAGACCCCTCGCCATGGTCCTTCTGCAGGACCTGGAAATGCTGGGAGGAGGCTCAGCGGGAAAGGGGAGCAGGAAGAGCATCTTGGGATACTTACTGAGACTCAGCCCCCCCCAAAAACCAAAACAATAGATGTTGGGGATGTTGCTGAGTAGTAGAGAACCTGCCCAGCATGCATGAAACCCTGGAATCAGGCTCCAGTAACAAACACACACGGCACAGGACTCTATTATTTGTTTCAGACTGGGGTCTTTCCCCTCTTGCCCAGGCTGGCCTCCAGCTCCCTAGCTCAAGTGATCCTCCACCCTCTGCATAGCAGGGGCTACAGGCATGGTCTGCCACCTTCTGCTCATTTTAATTATGTTTTAGCAGAAACTCTTTAAAGCAGAAGCATCCCAACTTCTTTCTCTCCATAGGCACCGTCAGTTCAGCTCCTTTCCAGTAGAATTTTTATCTTGGCACTTAAACATCATCAAAATCTAATCAATACCCAGTGGTTGTTTATTGGGCTCTAAATGCCTTGCTAAATTGAGCCCCAGGTGAGAGAAACTAAAGAAATGAGAGGTTGTTGGGAGGCTCGCGGGGAGAGTAGTCAATCAGCTATGAAGTGTTTATTCAAGCTTCGCAAAGGAGAAAGAGATCCTGTACAGGTGGCTACAGGCTTATGGAACACCTGTGCAGGAGACAAGCGCCAATGGCGGGGTCACTGGACCTCTAAAAGGGGTGGTTTAGGGGTGACTAGCATCTGACCCGGGAGGCCTTGAAATCAGAGAAGGCCCTTCCTCTTCGGCTCTGCCTCATGCCATTCACCTTTCCGACTCAGCCAGCTGTGTGCCCAGCAATACAAACCGTGAATACTGCCACTGTGTAGCCCCGGCTGCCGAGGTGGTTTTGTTCCCTCTTTGGTCTCTGGTTTGCTTCATGCAGGCCCCTAGGCTAGGCAAGACAGACCAAGTGGAAAAGAGCCAGCAGCACAGATGTAGGTGGTCCAAAGCTTTCCAGAGACCGGAAGCATCTTGCTTCCTCTATTACAGGTAGATTATTTTACGTTTCAAGTGCTCCTAAAAATGCAGCCCTGACCCTAGAGCGATCTAAGACACGGAAATGGAAATGCAAATGTGTGGAGCACACATCTACACTTAAGAAGGTATAGTCTGAGATTCTGTATTGAACAGGTTCCCCTAGGTGACCCCTAGCAATGGAAACCTGTTGTTCTGGGAGTTACAATTCGAAAAAACCAGTATAAATAGTGTCAGTTTTTTGGGGGATCTTTTTTTTTTTTTTGAGACAGAATTTCATTGTGTGGCCCTGACTTCCTGGAACTCACTCTGTAGACCAGGCTGGCCTCAAACTCACAGATGTCACATGCCTTTGGCCGCCCCCCCCCCCCCCAGTGCTGATGCTGCAATTACAGGTATGTGCCACATCATCCAGCTAATATTATCCATTTTAATCTAAGGGAAAATACCTGAAGTTGGTTGTGAGTCCAGAAGTCAGTAGTCACTGGATGTTGCCAAGTGCACCCTTATTTACTTAGTTTTTAAAAAACAGAATCCCTTCTGTAGCTAGCTCAGGTTAACCTTAAGTACTTCCTCTCTAGGTAGACCTGACAGAGATCAGTGAGACCCTGAGCTTGTGGTGATTGATTCTTCTGCCCCTGCCTCCTGGGAGCTACAATTAGAGCTGTCCTCTATCATGCCCCGCCATGTACCTTTCATTGGATCACAAGGTAACTGTTAGACCCATTTTATGAACAAGGACATTTGCCTTGTTGGCTAGGAAGTGGAATATTCGCCATTTAAAACAGGTTGATGGTTTTACTTTTCACCACAGGCATCTTGGGATCACAGTTTAACTGAAATGTTACTAGAGACACAGCAGTAACTGGGACTATGAAGCATGTCACCCGACAGGCACACTGGTGGGTTGGGTTTTACTAATCATCTCTTCACATTTTCATCTATTCTGAAACTGAGAGAAAGAGGAGGCAGGGCTCTGGTTTGTTGTATTATATTAGAAAGGGCTCATTAGCCAGGCAGTGGTGGTGCACACCTTTAATCCCAGCACTCAGGAGGCAGAGGCAGACAGATCTCTGAGTTAGAGGTCAGCCTATCTACAGAGCTAGTTCCAGAACAGTCTCCAAAGCAATACAGAGAAACCCTGTCTCAAAAAAACAAAACAAACAAACAAAGCGGGGGCTCATTAATTTCTATGGAAACCACATGCAGAGGCCAGAGAGGCAGGGCATCAGAACTGGAGTGACAAATGGTTCTGAGTTGCCATGTGAGTGCTGGGGCTTGAACCCAGGTTCTCTGCAAGAGTACCCAGTATTCTTAAATCACTGAGGCACTTCTCCAGCCCAACTTTTTTGAGATAGGGTTAATAAAGCCCAGGTTATCTTTGAACCCCTTATGTAGCCATGGATATCCTTGAACTCCTAATTCTTTTTCTACCTCCTGAGTCCTGGGATTACAGGAGTATACTACAGTGCCCAGCTCTCTTTGCAGAGTGGAACCTTCCTTCAATCCCTTGTATTTGCTCAAAACCTTCAAGGAACTCAATACCAGACTCCCAGTTAACACAGATTATGAGAAATGCATGCTTTTAAAATTCTGTTTATTTAGTTAGCGTATGTACACATAAAAGAGAAATCACCCTCAGAGCCCACCCAGCAGAAAACATGCACAAACCCAAGGTATATGTGGAAGGGAGGGGCCCCAGCCCCAAGTTAGCAGTGGGATGGTGCAATCCTGTGAATCTCAAGCCCATCATGAGCAGGCTGGACTGAAGTGTCAAACAGGCTGGAACCCCTGCTGCTGGCCCTAAAACAAGCGAGCACCATAGCCAAAGGTCTGTTTGATGCCCTCAAAGTAGTACCGCTGCCAGCCTTGCCGCGTCCGCTCTTCCTCAGGAGCAGGGATGCCACGGCCTTCCATGCACACCTCCGTCTCTCCGTTCTTGTCAATGAAGGTCAAGGTGATGGCTGCAAAGTGCCCTATGGGAAGGGGGTTTTCAGGTCCAGAGTTCCCGGACAGGTTAAACCAGGAAATAGCAGTGTTTGGGGATGATGTCAGCATCATTACTCACCCTCTGGCCATGACTTAAACCTCCACTTCATAGCAATGTGTTTCTCAGGGACCTGCAATGATGAAGGAGCACAGTCTAGTGAGGCACCACAGTGCACCCAACCCCAGCTAGGCAAGCCACCTGCCTCGGTATGACTGTGATACATGCAAGAAAATGCAAATTACAGTACTGTTTTGAGAAGTATCATGGAGGTCCTTACCCGTAAAGATCGAGAAACACCACTTATCTAACTAATGAGGATGACAACCTGGAGAGAGGCAGGAATTACTCACCAGATCAGTAAATTCTCCTGTGACGTTGCCATCGACCATGTGAAACTTCCCTCCTTTGTCTGCTTCTAAGGCCGCAGGAGCATGGGTAAAGGCCTGAACCAGCTGCAGAGAAGCAGGAATTGGGAGACGCATGGCTCTCAATAGGCCGTGGGTACCCGCCAGCTCAACTCCTCCCTGGAGATTTCAATCTGCCCCTGAAGATGTTTTGTCTTCCTCTTTCTGATCCTCTACAGACTAGGCTGGGGCCTCAGGAAGATTCTGAATCCATGATATTATTACTTCAGGTACATACTTTTTCTTTCTTTGTCTTCCTTCCTCCCAGTGCCAGAGATTCAACTTGGGGCCTTGTACACAAGTACTGTGTATCACGGAGCTCCTCTCCTACTCCTCCCCTCCCCACTCTTCTAACAAGAACGCACTGGGTCCTGTTGACATGGCCCCAACTGGTACACTTAGGAAAAAATGTGCGTGTGAAAATGCCCTCAGCCCACCCCTGCTGGTGTCAA